CAACGTGAAAATTCGAAAAAACATTAAAGTAGTGGGGTAGGATAGAAATACACATCGGTCGACTCACTCTTTGATCCTGATTCCGAATATGATATTTTTATTGTTTAAAACTTGAGTTCTGGTCGAGAAAATTGTGAAGTACGGGCAGAATTCTGACTTTTTCGCCTCTGATTTAGAAAAAATGATTTTTTTTTTGCCATATTCTAATTCAGTTTTTGACGCTGAACAAGAATATGTATGTTGAAAAAGTTAAAGTTGTAATCATATTTGGAAAATTCAACGTTAAAAAAAGGAGACGAAAACTCGATTTTTCGACCGGAAGGAAACCTAAACAAATTCAGGGAGCACATATTCGTGATCACCATTAAATTCTCTATCGAATGGTGTATAAAACAACGAAAAATAAATTCCACTATTTCTTTGCTTTCCGTGCATGTTACGTGAAAAGATAAGTTTGCTTTGCAGTTTTTCTGCAAAAGTAAACTCATTCTTTCTGTTCTATTAGGTTGGCAACAAACTTTTTGCGTCTTATCTATAGATGGAGGAAAGAAAAAACGCAAAAACTTTCTTGCCAACCTAATATATACTAGACAACGACTGAAGTTGTTGAAATGTAATTGTACACAGATCAATCTAAAATGGATATTGATTAATATTTATATATCAGTCATGTATGTAATTGCACTAATCACTAGTGACACATAACCAACTTCAATCGTTGTCTAGAACAGAAAAAATGAGTTTACTTTTGCAGAAAAACTACAAAAGTAAACTTATTTCATTCTTTTCATGTATCTAGTCAAAATTAGTTGTGTATATTTTCTAGCTACGGTTATAATACTTTCTAGTATTTAAATTTTAACTCGTTTATCAATGACTATTTAGATATCGTATGGATACTTGTCAGCTGCTTTAGCAAATGGGTATATATAAATGCAGATATATACTGTTTAGGACTAGGATAATTTCTAAGAACTGATCGATGGATTTCTTACTAGTTAGTCGTCATATGTGCAGCGCTCTTTTTTTTTTCATGTTAAGAGATTCCGTTATTTTAAAGAGAACTGGTTATTAATTAGAGTTCTTTCAAATAACGAGTGACTAGTTCTCGTTAAAAAGAACTGAACTGGCACTGTGGTATCCATAATACAGGTTACTTAAAACTTTCTGTTCGTTTTTGTGTATCTGTCGAATTGATGTTGCTACTACAACGAAACTATTTGCAAGCGAAGAAGCTAAAGTAACGATCAGTAACAGGAAAAAAGAGAATATTAGAAAAGTGGAGTGTATATATATATATAGCTAAAATAATTGTGACTATTTTAGATAAGATTGTTTGTGTGTTAAAATGATTGAAGACGAAGTATTAACATTACCGACAAAACGAAATATCGTTCTTGATCAACAAGAACGTGTAGTAAATGAAATAGCAAATCAAGGAAGACAATTGAATGAAAATGGAAGTGGTGCAAATATTAGTATTCCTACTAGTGTTGGTAAGGAAAATAAAGATTATAGATTTACTATGTACTCCTAATACTATTGTATTTACATTTTAGTTGAAACAGTTGAAATGGAAGATGATACCGTCGCAGAAGACCAAACTGCATTATTAGCTGAATTTGAAAGACGTCGACGGGTATAAAATATTTTTTCGTACGTTATTTAAGAAAATCAATGCATCTTTTTTTTTTATCTTTATAGGCTCGTCAAATTCATGTATCAACAGATGATGTTGAAGTTAAAGCAAATTTAAGACAGTTGGCTGAACCAATTTGTACGTATTTCTGCTCAATTATTGCTCCTGTTTATCACGGTACTTGAGTTTGTTTCAGGTTTATTCGGAGAAGGACCGGCTGAACGACGTGAAAGATTGAGAAATTTAATATCACGTTTAACTGACGATGAAATAGCACAAAAATTACGAAAAAAAGAGGAAGAAGAGAAAAAAGAAGAAGATGCTAAAGAAGTACGAAGCAGTTTTTTTACTGTACTGATTCAAATGCTTATTTCCTTGTGTTTAGGAAGTAACATGGTACCATCAAGGAGCAGATGAATTGCAGACTGCACGTGTGTGGATTGCTCAATATTCATTACCAAGGTATGCTAGCAATTGAATTTTATTCATCAAATATTCTATGCGGCATTTGTATCTTTAGAGCAAAAGAAAGAATTCAAAAATTAAAAGAATATGTTGCTATTCCAGAAGTTTTTCGAACAGCAAAAATACAAGATTTATATAGACGTTTAAGAGTAAGTCAGACAACCAACATAAGTTTCGAGACAAGAAATACTGTTAAAATATGCTACAATTTCCAGGATAATCAGAATGTCTTATTATCTCACAGATTTTCAGGATATTTGTATCTTCTTAGACGTATTGTCGATTATAGCCACGTATGAGGTGAATGAGTTTTGTCGGTTCAAATAATCAATCTAAAGGAATATTTAGCTAAACAGAGCTGAAATCTTTATTTAACTTTGATCTTTATATTGAAATATAAAAACGTCTTTATTTTTCTATGTAGGCAACATCTCTTCATTGCAGTCAACTTGGTGATAATCGTCCATTATCTTATTGTGAATTTAGTCCAAATGATCAGATGTTGGCTGTTTCGTCATGGTAAGTATGATTTGAGAGTTGGTTAGATTCGCTATAGAACCCAAACGAATTTCACATAGGCTTATGGTTTTGGAGTAAGCACATGACGACGAAAACAAAACATTGTTTAGGAGTGGTTTGTGCAAGTTATGGTCAATTCCAGATCTTAGACTGATAAGAACATTGAGAGGACATAGTATCAATGCGTGTTCTATAACATTTCATCCACAAGCAACGTTAACACAAGATCCGTTAATGATCAATTTGGCTAGTAGTTCATTTGATGGTGGCGTCAAATTGTGGAACTTAGAAAGTGATGAACCTATAGCTGAAATTGAAGGTATAGAGCTTTTGTTATTCCATTAGACTCTGTAATATGTGTTGTTTTTGATTTGTAGGTCATGCTCCTTTTCGAGTTTCACGTGTTAAATTTCATCCATCTGGTCGCTTTCTTGCTTCGTGTTGGTACGAAAAGGAACGTATTATTCTTTACGGTTACTATGAATGTCTCTTATCTTTCAGTTATGATCACAGTTGGCGACTATGGGATTTAGAAACACGAGATGAAATTTTACATCAAGAAGGACATTCACGTGCTGTACATGACGTTTGTTTTCAATGTGATGGCAGTTTATGTGCAACAGCGTAAGATATCACTGGCGTTTTACTATTTTTTTCCTAAAGTAATTCTATTTTTAGTGGAATGGATTCTTATGGACGAGTTTGGGACCTTCGTACAGGTCGTTGTATTATGTTTATGGAGGGTCATCTAAAACCAGTTTTAACGGTCGATTTTTCTCCTAATGGGTAAGTGAACTTCTTACTTGTACAACTTTGATCTCAGTTTTTTTACATTCAAGATATCACATAGCAACGGGTGCTGAAGATAATTTGTGTAAAATATGGGATTTACGTCAAATAAAAAATGTTTACAGTGTAGCTGCACATCAAAATTTGGTTTCTGCGGTCAAATTTCAAAGTATGTTGCTATTTCAACAAAACGAAAAGTTTCTATCCATTATTTCTTATCTTTTAAAAATAGGAACAGAAGGTCATTATCTCGTTACTGTTTCATATGATAATACCATTAAACTTTGGATGCACCCTGTTTGGTCAGCATTGAAATGTTTAACAGGACACGAACAAAAAATTATGTCAGCTGATTTGTCAACCGATGGAAAATGGATTGCAACGTGTTCCTATGATAGAACATTAAAAATATGGTCACCCGAACTACCTAATTAATTGGTCGTTTGATTCTAAAAAGATTTGTTTCTTTTTTCTTACAATTTTTTCATTACTTATTGTTATTATGTGTCTGTCTATTGTAAATTTTGCATATTTCATTCTACAAAATATATTTGTTAACTATAATTATGCAATAGGAAAAGTTGGACATATTATTTAATCTTAGTATATTATACAGAGTAATAATTAGTTATCTATCGTTCGCAAATACTATGATATGGATCAAAACTGATCAGAACAGAAGTATTCTATTTACTCTTACTGTAATTCATTACTTTGCTTGAAACACACGTGTGAAGATCAGCAACTGCTAAAATTTTATATGAGTCGAACCAATAACATTACAAAAACACCGGTAGTTAATTAAATGTATGAACGATATATTAACCAGAATTAGAATCAAACCAACAGGTTCATTGATTAAACGGATCGGTCAGATTGAGAAGCGGACCATCCCGTACACACTATGGCTAAGATTTGAATATTAATATCTTGTACTACCAAGCAACTTTTCTTTGTTTAAGCCGATTCTTCTAATATTCCAGAACAAACGTTTGAAATTATTAAATTCACCTAGGCTATCTTATTATCTTATTTAAATTTTTTAAATTCGAATGAAAGTTGTTTATTTAAATCAACTCCCTAATTTTTTCGATGATATTTTTCATTGATTTGATCAATCATTTTCTATTTTAATTATATAGATTTTGTTGACATAGGAATTAGAATCCATGTAAGATTCATCAGCCAGTCCAGACTAAATCAGTTGGTTAGAACGGCTATAGGAGAATTTTTTAATAGCAGTTTTTCTTGCTAAAACAAGCTAATTTTAACATACTCGCTATGTAAAATGAAATAAAAGTTTTTTTGGTTCTTTACATAGATCAATAAAGTTGATTGAGTTATTTATGAATACTGTCGTTATCTTTCTTTTATCCAGTATAATCCACAGAAGTTTAACTGTCCTTGATTCTCCGATGGAGACTTTTTCATATTTTTTGAATCTATACACGGCATTTAAATTGTAAAGAATGACAAAAATTTTAGCCTCTTTACAATTCCTATTTATAGATTTAGAAATCTAATCCAAATCCTGTGGAAAAGTATCTTTGTTAATTTTGATTGATTGCTTTTAGCTCTAACGATAGTACAAACAACACAACAATAGGGAACAATGACAGTGTAAGCTTACGAATGGTATCATAATTAATTTCATGTGTGATATCTTCTATTTTCTGTATTTAATATAAAATTACATGCTCTTTTGGTTTTTTGATGTCAAATAAAGAAATAAAAATCAATAGTCGGTCGACAGATATTTTTTTTTCTGCTTTATTCCAGCTTGATAACGAACATCACACTCAAAATGGAACACAAGGTATATTTCACACGGTTTCTGTTTGCAAATTACAAAAAAAAATGAGAGAAATTGAAACACATAACAGTGACTTAAAATATATTTTAATATAGTTCATTATTTTTCTTTAGTAACAAAAGCTGCTTGTGTTCATAGATACAAAGTATTTCTATAACATTATCACAAAACATACTGTACAAACAGCATATTATGCACAAGTAAGTGATATGTATTAACTATTTCATGTACAGAAGTTATTGTCCTTGATTTTAAGGGTGAACAAACTAAACGATATGTTTGGTTCAAACACGAATGAACATAGATTATTTTTTTCTCGAAGCTAAGATACATACTCAGTCATGCAATCTACTCTCACGCTGTAGATCTGTCTTACATTCGTAAGTGATTACATTTCCGGAAATTCTTGTTTGATCTTCTTGTTAGTCATCATTTGAACTAGATATAAGATGAAGATTTTGATCTCAAATATATCCTAGAAGAACATGTTTTACAGATTGGTGAGAAAAAAAATCATTGTAAATAATATTAGTTACTTAAATCTTGTTCAATTAGAAATTGTACGTGAGATGAAGAATATAAGACTCATCTCTAATCTTTTCGTATCTATAGAAAAGACAAGTAAGCACATATATTTTGGAGGGCTTTGTGTCGTTCATGCATATAAACAATTAAATATTTTAAAGAATTTACAAAAGAATTATACTAATGATTATTCAATAAAACAAAATACTATTATATATGTCAAATTTAACCTAAATATCATAGTGAACGATGATGACAATATGATTGTTCAATTTAAAGACATGTTGTGAGGATTTCTAATTTTGTAAAACTCATGTGAACACATAAATATACCTACAAAAATAATCACATAGCACATAGAACTGTTAAAATAACGAAAGAGAATTTGTCATTTTTACTGAAAGTATCTCGAGTAATATTTAAATGATGAAAAATAAATTTTGATAGACAAGCAGCGAGTGTTTTCTAATTTTTTCTAACGTATAAAATTTGGTATTCAAGACGAGATGAATATTTCTTACGGTGTGCATTGTTTTATGCCTAAGCGAAAAAATATAAATTAATACTCGAATGACAAAGGAAAACTATAAAATAGTCGATAACTATTTTACAAATGAATTATAGTAGAGTCTTGTCCTCATTTGAATGTTCAAACTCAACCGAATGACGGATATTCTTTTTGTAAATTGTGAACAAATTTCTAGTTTTCGCATTAGACGTAGAGACAGTAGACGCTGAAAAACTCTAGACGGTAATATGTGTACAGTGCTGAGGAGTGCAGTTATTTTTAACACCGTTTTAGTTTGATGAGGGTGAGTTTATTGACCGAGAAATACTCGCTCTTCTACGAAGGACTACAGCGAGCGATCAAGAAATCGACTTCACTATAGTTGATCTTAATGTTCATTTCGTAAAAAGACAACATGTTGTGTACTATCTAGCCATTTTGTACTATTTTTTTTTCAGTGCAATTTTTTTAGAAATTATTCTTGATATAAACATGTGTAGAAATAGTCTGTTTTTGCCGTTGTTTCTCTTATTTGGCTCTCTCTCATTTTTTTTCTTCTATTTTTGGTAAGTAAATATCCCGTATACTAACATTGTACATGATCCAACTCTAGACAAACAAAGAGCGAGTATAACATTGTTGAATCTTTCTTTTTTCCTCCTTCTCTTTTTCTCTCTTTCTCAACTGACTAAAGAACATGTATTCCAAATTATTTTACGTTAAGGTATGTCAAACCAACTTTTCTACTCTTTTTTTTTTTTTTTTTAAGTTTTTTTTTGTTGTTATTCCCTGAAATTGGATCCACACACATAATAATGCAAAGAAAATTTTACAGAGAGAACAAATTTCAAAATTTTATTTCGTTTCCTTCTTCTTTCTTTTAAAATGTATAGTATAAAATAATAATCAAATAAACTTGTTCTTTTCTTTCCTGCTGCTCTGTCTCTAACAAGGTCAATTATCTTTTCATATATAGCACTGATTTTAAATATATTGTCGTTAAAAAATATATAATAATCAGATGTTAACAGGACTAGAATGCAGGTAAGTAAGTAAGCTATTGTTTGACAATTTCCGGCATTCATTTAAACATAATTCATCGTTAATTAAAGCAAATAATATTTAATGTACTTGAAATTTTACCCAGACATTTGATCAATCTTACGTGAGATACGTTTCAAAAATGATGCTATATATATATATATAAGCACAGTGATGAAATTAACTTTTTTAAAAGAAAAAAAGAATACACTAGTAGATCTATTGTCCAAAAACGGATATAAATGTTTTTTTTATTTAGTCACGGATCGTTTTTCCTTTTAAAGTAAATATAAAATGATAGCTTTTAAAATATGTAATTCTAGTCACGTATTTAGTTAGTCTCTAAAGAAGATAGCTTAGATTGCTTTACGTTCTTTGTTAGTAACACGGTAAAATAATTGAATGTGATTTCTACTGTCGAATCTGTGTATAAGAAGTATTTATGTTTTTACGAGTAAGAAACATTTGCATCTCATACGTTCAATATATATCCTTGTAAGAATTATATTTTGAGTAAATACTAGTTAGTCGTATTACACGTTAAAAGTAGATATATCAGAACATTAATCGTACTTAATTTGACAATTTGGATGGTCTGCTTTGCATTATATAAAAAAAAGAAAAACTGTATAGAAAAGACAAGAAAAAAAACAGTCAAGAATACATAAGTAAGACAACAATAATAACAATCATAGACCAAATTCAAATATAGATGCAGACAAAGACAAAAGAAAAATACTTACAAATCTTTGCTCTTCTTTATCAAAGATCGATTTTTGTCTCTCTTTAATATATAAAATCAAATTAATATTTCTCAACAATTCTTACTCTATCAATAATGCTTCTTCACATTTTAAATTTGATTTAATAAAACAGTGATAAGACTACATAATAGACACTAAAGTAAGATATAGTTTGTTTTTCCTTTTTTGGCACAGTAACAAGGCAAAGTATTTTTCCACTCCTTTTTTAAACATCTATTAGAGAGAGAGAGAGAGAGAGAGAAATCTGTTTCTATTTTTTCTTTTTGGTCACCTCTGTTCAATGTGTGAGTGAAACACAACACATTTATCATTATTTGTGTAATTATTTCCTTCTTCGGTTTTTTTTTTTCTTCTTTAGTTGAGAAAACATATTTCTATAAAAAAAACCGTTCGTTTTTTTTTTTTTTCCATTTCAAAGATCTTCTATTTAAGAGTGTGACTAGGTTTTTTTTTTAAAATAGTTTTTTCCTTCTTCTCTTGTTTTGTCGTTTTATGAAATTTTCCTTCCGTATGTAAATATATATAACAAAAGTTTTTATTCCGTTTGAAAAGTTCATCATTTGTAGAAAATGTGTGCACAATTATCAAATTATCGGATAAAACAATATGGTTTATTATAACAAGAAACAGATAGTATTTTTTTAGGTAAGCTATTCTTCGATTTCATATGATAGCTCTCTAAATAGACTGCAACGTTTATCAAATTATTAAGATTAATACCGTGATGAATAGAAACAAGTTGACAATACGTATCTTTATAGAATATAGACAAAAATTTTTCGTC